GATAAAATGAGCAAATCAGTATTTCTTGAATAACTGAATGCTGTCAAAGACGGTTCAGGTTTCTTGGCTGGACTGTCCTGCGCTGTTGGCTCACAGGATTATTAATTTTGATAACACTGAGATCTCTTTAAATGCCCAGCTTTGATGTGTTAAAAATTCCCCACATCCTTCCAGCCACACAACCACCTTTCTTTTCACAAGTCTTTATCAGTGGCTGTGACTGTGGCACGGGGATAACGTCCCATTCATAGAGATCATCCCGGTTTATCACTGAGAATAGTTGTACCACTTGATATCCCTGAACAAATGATCCAGGTGGTGAAACATGAGTGTCTGCATGTATGTCTGATACCCTACAGCATCCAAAACATCCTGACAAGGGCAAACACGAAGGCTCATGCAAGAAGCAGCAACTGGAGGTCAAGTGAGATACCCTAAGGCACTTCAAAGAGTCTGGACAAATGTCTTAGACTTCTGACCTGCCCACTTTGGATTTAGCTGGATGTTAATGTCATACATCAGGGCAGCTACAGGGTGTTCAGTTTTAGTTCCTATCCCTTCTTCCTTTGTACAAGTGCTTAGGGAGCATCTTCCACAAGTGGTCCAGTCCTGCTGTCTCTGCTGTCAGCTCACAGCCTGGCTTTGTGCTCTTTGGATGCACTATCAGGAATATTCTCTCCCTCTTTGCTAAGTTTGAAACACTGGAAACAAAACAAGAAGGGAGAAAGCTTATTTAAATTTCCAGCATGAATGAAGTGGCAACATGTATTTATTTCCATGAGCATGGAAGTGTATGGGTCTCTTCTGATCTGCACAATTCCTTCCACATGGTCCCTTTCCTGGACCATCCATATAACTGATCAATGCTTTACTGAAACACATGATTCTAAAATTTGGTGATCTGGTTTACACACATAACCAGGGCGGGTCTGGAAGCAGCACAGATGTGTTCACCTGCTTCTCTGCTCGGGTTTATGTCCTAACAGTGGCTTTCTTAATGGAACAGATCACAATAAAGCAGAACCTTGAGAGTATATTAAAGTCAATGTAATATATAGATTGTAATTTAGCATGATTGTTATTAACATTACCATAATGTCAAGGGAACAGTGAAGAGTTAAGTACTACAAATTACACACAGCATATGCCAGTTTATTTTTTTAGTGGCCACCTTAATAAAAGCAAAGGAAGAAAAATGAAAGCTCTGAATTTGTTGTATATCTGTAGTGTCCCAGCCAGTTGCTCTTGTTTTTTTGTGTTCTCTCAGAACTAAACAGACATTGATTATTTTTGCATTCTTTGTGTCTAAACAAATAAAGGCCTTTTCTAAACTGATGTGAGCCAAAATCTTTCACTCCATGGAGAGCAGTAATTTTTTCAAAAATGTGAATTTCAGGCACCATCCACTTGGTTTCTTGATTTTTCTAGCATGTGTCAAAATAATCTTTAACTGCTCATATCACTGATGTCTGCTGGGACACTGAAACCACACTGTCTCTACTGAACACAGGAAATTGCAAATGTCCTTGAGGCAAAAGGAATGAAAGGAGGAGGCCCTGGAGTTCAAGCTTCCACTTCCATTTGAACTGGGCTCTGCTGTTCAGTTGTTGCAGACTGACTTGACAGATTAAAGACTCTACCAGTGCATAGTCAGTGGAGAAACATCAAACCCAGGGATCCTTTCAGGAGAACGAGCGTTAAAGCACCTCTGCATTCAACAGAGAAACCTTTTGTTGTTAACAATCCAAACCTTTTTGTATTTTATCAGGTATGGAATAGCTCATTAGCAGAGTTGACATGCAGCTCCTATTCTCTCCTCTGGCACTGAGGTTAATGTTTCCTCCCCTGCTTTGGTTTCTGTCTCAGTTTCTGTGTTCCCCAACATTATTTTCTTTTTAAAATCTGTTGATGAAGTGGTACAAAATGACATACAGACCATTATGGAAAGTCACATCAAAACATTCTGGCAGCAGTGAGAGCTCAAGGAAGGCTCCAGGGGCAGGTGAATCGCGTGGCTCTGGTGCTCTCTCTGTGCCCACCAGTCTGAGCCTCCTGAGCCAGAACTTACTCAGATACAATGGACTAAATGTAGTCAGTTCAGTCAGAGCCATCTGACCAGATGTGCCTGTCTGCAAGGAGAACAGTAACATCTGAGGTTTTAACCTTAGGCTGTCTTCAGAATCAATCAAGTCCTGGCTTTGATATACCTCTGGTAAAGGAGATGCCAAGAATAGAAAGGATAAATCATGCTCTTTTGTCTTTTCACCATAGATTGAATTTGAACCTTTTCAAACGTCTCTGATTACCCCTTAGGACATGAGCATGGTGGCTTTCTTGGTATTCTTTCAGGAATTCATAGAATCCCAGAATGGTTTGGGTTGGAAGGGACCTTAAAGACCATCCAGTCCCACTCCCTGCCATGGGCAGGGACATCTTCCACTAGACCAGTTCGCTTCAAGCCCTGTCAAACCTCACCTTGAACATTCCAGTATGGGGAATTCACAGCTTCCCTGGGCAACCTGTTCTAGTGTCTCACTAACTTCTGTCACCTGATGGACTTTGCATGAATATATCCATATATATAATTCTTGTGGTATTTAACATACACAATTTCAAGCTGAAAAGAGTTCTGCAAATTAACAATAAGTGTGTGAAGAAATATTTCCTTTTGTTTAGTCACATCCTGCTTGCATAGACAATGTATTATTATTACTATTAATAATAATAACAATAGTATTATTAAATGACAGCTTTTCTAATCTGTACATGGTGAGCTGTATAGAAACTGCCACATTTATATATTGAGACAACCCCTTTCAGACCTGGGCAGCTGTGGAGAGTGAACCAGCACTAGCAGCAGAACCCTGGTTTCCTTGCTCTTTCTCTTTTATCCTTTTAAAAGATATTCTTAAATCTTGAATGCCAGGCAATGCAATTTTCTCTCTCTTTGGTGAGGCTGAGGGGATGATGTAACAAAAGCCCTTAAGTTCTTGGGATATCCTAGAGATGTGTGACAATATATCTTTTCCAGGCACTTGGGAGCCCTTAGAACAGAACCGTGTTTGTTTTGAAGACAAATCTAATATGGTTGTGCCTTGTGTATCCCAGCTGGAATACACTGGAATACATTCCCAGCTGGAATGTATCACTGGGATCTTGGAGACGAAGCTGTGTAGCATTTTCAGTGCCCACAAATGGTGGGAAAAGCTTTTTAGGAAGGTACATCAGGAAACCCTCTCTGTCCTTGAAATAGGGATGGTGGCTTAGAACATTTACAGGGTCAAAAGGGTTCAAATGGCTCCGTGCAGCATCACACAGGCACCATCAAACTGGGATTATCAGGGACTCATTGAATGTTTTGGGTTGGAAAAGACCTTAAAGATCATATTGTTCCAATCCCCCTGCCATGGGCAGGGACACCTTCCACTAGCCCAGGTTGCTCCAAGCCCTGTCCAACATGTTCTTGGACACTTCCAGGGATCCAGGGGCAGCCACAGCTTCTCTTGGCAACCTGTGCCAGGGCCTCCCCACCCTCACAGGGAAGAATTTCTTCCTGACATCTAACTTAAATCTCCCCTCTTTTAGTTTAAAACCATTCCTCCTTGTCCTGGACTGTCTGTCTGTGTAAAAGTTTCTCTCTTTCTTACAAGCCCCTTTAACTCCTGAAGGGGTTGCACTTGCCCTGGGATTTGCTCCAAGTGTGCATTGAGAGTGTGGTGGTGCTTTGGTGCATCAGTGACCCAAAGTGTTCACTCCTTTCCCTCCTCTGGGATATGAGGGAAGAAAAGCTGAACTGTGAACATGAGGGTCCAAAACAAACCACAACACATTGAATTCTGGTCTTATATTCCCTGCTTGCTTGTTCCTACTTAGCAGGTAAGGGGAAAACAGATCCCCTGCCAGGTACGCTCCACTCCCTCCGGAGTTTTCCATCATCCAGAGTGAAGGAAATGGAACAGGAAATATGAAAGAGCAGAATTGCTACAGTGACCCAGGACAACCTTTCCCACTTGGAGCCACTGCCCTGCTTTTCGGGGTGTTTTGCACTCTGTGATTTGAACCCCAGCAGTGCCACTGCAAAGTGAGCTGATGAAACCTCAGGGTGTGTTGCCCTTGGATTGATATTCCCTGGCCACTGTCTGCTGCAGGAACGAAATCCTGTATTGATTTCTGGAAATGGGTCACATCTTTATTTTGTTGCTGCTTTGGGATTGCCTGCATTCTGTTGGCTGCAAAATTCCTCTTATAAATTAACTTTTTTTTCCTTTCTTTTTTTCTCCCCCTCCTTTTTTTTTTTTTAATATAGTGGGCTTAGATCTTTCAAGATAGAAAATAGAAAAAAAAACAAACAAAAAAAAAGAAAAAATATTTGGATCAAGTCATCTTGGTTTAAGTGGCATTGCATTCTCTTTAGGCAAAAGAATTTGCCTTGTGTGCTCTGGGAGTAAATGAAGAAGGAAAAATAGGGAATAAACAGAGTGAAAGTCTGAGAGAAACAGCTTTTAATTTAGTTTAGAGTCCGGAATGAGGTTAATGGACTATGCAAAGACTCGTAAGGAACAGGTGGAAGATCAAACTGAGCCTAAATTGATTTCTGATTCCTCTTTAAATGATTTCTCTATTTGGAAATACCCTTATTCTAACTTTATATGAAGAAGGAATTCAATAAAATAAAGCAAAGGTGTTAGAAATTACCTTGATAGGGACAACAATATAAAACCCCAAAATAATTAATGATAATTTTAATTCCTTAGTTTGTCCTTAAACCTGCTACAAGAAGAAAAAAGAAGAGTAAAAGAAAATAAACAAAGAGAAAAAAAAAGGGAAAGAAAACAAAGTTTGTTGTCATTTTCTCTCAGCTTCTAATGATCTTTTTATTTCTTTTTTCTCTGTTTTCTTTTTTTTTGCAACGGGACCTTAAAATGTACCAATGCTTCCTGGTAAACTCACTATTTTAATTTTTTATCTGTCCTTTATTCACATTGTCTCCCATATTTCAGGTTGCAGCAACCCACTCCAACTGCATCATTAAAAAGGAGCAAGAGACTTGTCTGGAGAAGATCCGGAGGGCAGCTGCCCTGAACCCTTTCAATGACTCTTCTCCGGGTGAGTTTCAGACCATGGACATTTAACTGATGGTTTTTTAACATTTCCTGTGATGCCTGGAGGGGTTTTCAGCAAAGTCCTTCCAAACACTTGATGGTAAGAGGTGCATCACTGCTGCTGAATGAGCCTGGAGAAACAGCAGAAGGACAAAAATTCGATCAATGGGGATGTACCAGAACCATTCGTGGTTATTACAGAGGTCAGGAATTTGTTTCTTTACCTTAGGTGACAGAGTGACATCTATCTACAAAACTAATCCCCTCCAAAAAAAAGAAAATTAAAAAGAATCAATGTGCCTGGATGAACTTCTGCTGGGGCAGGTGACAGCAGCTCCTGGGGACTGGACATAAGACTAAAAGCATCATCTGTCTGCTGTGTAGAAGCTCTTTTCCCCTCATCAGCTCAGTAATAATTTGTGCATCTCTCACATGATCTGAAGACCTTTACAGGGATTAGGGTTGTGATGGCTGTAATCTTGATGAAGGATACTTGTGCTGCTGCTGAGATAAGAAACTGAGGCAGCCAGCAAAGAAGAAATTTATAGTTTAATATCCTGCCTTATTTCCTACTGACTGCAGCAGGAGCTGCCTGTGCCCAGCACCAAGGAGAGAAGGGCAAAGAATGACAAAGAAACTAATTGGAAATCAGGGTCCATTTTCTGAGACCTGTCCAAGCTGCTTCTGCTGTGACTGGAATTGATAAAACCTCAGAGAAGAGCAGATAAAAACACATCTTGTGTGATAAAAGAGGGGGGCTTTCTCCCCCATTTTCCTGGGCACATATTTTAGCCCCAAAGTAAAGGAGGGTAGGATGCAGATATCTGTGTTACCAGGGTGTCCTCTGAAGCAAACCATTACAAGGAATATTTCTATCAGAGTCCTCTTATTCATCTCATATATAAACTGATTCCCGTTCTGCTTCCCAGCTTTGGGCAAATGAGGAAATTTTGGTGGAATTGAGGAAAGCATCAGGCACTTCATTTTACCCACAGGGAGGTGGTTTTGAGACACCTTTTGTGCTCTACAGCAGAGCTTCCCAATGCTTTCCTGATCCAGAAGTGGTAAAAGCAAGGACAAAAGGGGACAAAAACCCTGTTTCTCATCCCCTACCCCCAGAATGATGTCAGAAGCTGACCACAAGCCCTACTCCTTATGCTTATGCAACGACTATTATTTGGATTCAGGAATTCATAGATTTCCCCAGGTGAAAAGAACCAATTTCACCAACCAATTTGGTCTTTATCCCTCAAATCCAGAACAACCCTGGCAGCTGGTGGACTATTGAGACCCAGCTCCTCCTCCTGCTGTTCCAAATTCAAAGAGCACAGCTCAGAGATAGAGGAAGTCCAGAGCCATTAGAGAAAGGCTTTTGCATCTCAGTGTGATTAAGTTGTATCACCCACTCAGGCAGGCAGGGACTGCATCCTTTCAAGCTCTTCCCTCAGAGCAGAACCCAGCTGCTCTTTATCCTGTTCCCCCAGTATCTGCAGACTGAATCATTGGGAAGGTTTTTTCCAGGCTCATTGAGCATCTTTTAGTTGTTCACCACATCCGGTGGCAACGAGTTCCACAGTTTATGTGGCTTTGGATAAAGAAACCGTATCCCCACAAAGACATTAATCTCCCAGTGAAGAACTTGGGTGTATTTCTTGTTTGAAAGTTTTTTCATTCCATGGATCCTGCTTGTTACCCTTTTTCTCTACTTTTTAATTTTTTTTTTTTTTAATTATTGTAGACATATATTGAATATATTTAATTTTACCTCTGGGACTACAGCATTCCACTCTACCTCCTTTAAGTCCTGACCTCTAGACCCACCTTTCATTACATGATACTTATTTCAAGCCAGATCCTGCTACCCTCATTCCCAAAAAAGCCTTACATCCATAGTTAAAGGGTGGGACATCAGCAAAAACTCTACCACCTTCTTACTGTTTGTATTTTTTGGAGAGTATTTCACTCCAAAGCACCCTGAAGATGTTGTAACTCTCCATAAACTAAGCAGTCATAAGTGCAGGATGTTGATTCCCCTTGATTTTCTCCTGCTGCAGACAACCTGTTTTTCTCTTGGGAGAAGTGAAAATTACATGACATAGTTTTTTTGTGTATGTGTTATTCAGCTGTAGCACTAAGATTTGCTAAGGATGGCAGGTAGTGAAGAAATATGTTATTAGCTTGTTTCCTTCAAAGAGAGAAAAACATAGGAAATAACTCTCTTGCTTGTCAGAAATAGCTGAAAAAAAAAGAAAGAAATTCCTCCTGACTGGTGAGTAAACTTCTGTTTATTTAAGAGGAAGGAGAAGAACACAACTATTTTTTCCCTCCTTTGACTATTCCTGCATGAAAATTTCCATAGAACAATTCAATATATATATTTTTCTGAGAATTTTCTTGCAACCTCAGAGGGGTTGCAGGGTATAAAATGGGATTGTGAGCTTTTAGGAAATCTTAGAGACTTGGGAACATGGTCAAGTTGCTGTGACTTAACAACAATTCACCAAGTGACCTCTCTAAGCAAGACCACTCCGTGTTCTTCTGGGGCAGGTAACAAAAAGTCAGATGGTCACATATAAAACTTGGATGTAGGACATGAACAGTCTGTGTGTTCCCCTTTCCCTCCCACTCTACCTCTCATGCCCAGACATTCTTCTCATTACTGTTTTATTCCTCACACCACTGTTTTCTCTCCTCCTCTGCTGTGCTTACAATGCTTCAAAGACAATGATTGCCTTGAGATTTTCTGTTGGTTTTAATTTTTTTTTCCCATTAGTTTTCTGATGTCTTCTCCCTCTTAAATACCTTACATTTTTTAGGAATTTATATGAAAAGGAATAAGGGGCGTGTGCTGACCGTGTGTGTTCATTCCTGTTCAACCATCCCCTACAGCCTGAATGAAAAAGAGAATTTGAAGGAAATGAAATCTCAGCAGGACCCAGAATCTGACTCCTTCACTCTGGAGAAGGAAGTAAACTGATAAAGGGAAATAATGAAATCCAAAGGCAGACAAGAAAGGAAAGAGAGGAGTGATTACTCTGCAGCAAACTTCTCCAGGCAGTGGAGCCAGGCTATTTCTTACATCAGTGTTTCCAATCTCCTTTGCTTGAGTTTTTATCCCTGTTCTAGTGTAGAACTGCCCCATTTCATGCTGGACCCTCCTCTAACTGTCACCAGCCCTAAAGTTGCTTTCTGCCAAATCAGAACTGATAAATCCCGCTGCTGACCCACATGCACCCTTTTCATTTTTATTTTTTCCATCCAGACTCTTCTGACCTGTTCCCAAACCTGGGGCTGGGAAAGAATGACACAGGAGTCACTCAGATGTTAATGACAGTTTCCTGGGTTATGTACATTCAGCATGGGATTTATCTAATTAAATGTTGATACCTGCAAATGCATCTACACTGCAAATAAACAAGTCACCTTCCTCACTTTGTTGCTCTGGATATCCAGCATGTAGAGCCTGAGACATAATTAATTTCCCTCTCAATGTAGATTAGATGATGCCTTTTGTGCTCTCTGGATGTACATGGAAGTAAAGATGACCATCTCAGTTCTAAATAATCCCACTGTAGGTGTCAGCATTTAATGAGACAAATCCCACCTCGAGCATCTGGCTCTGTCACACTGACTAGGTCATGCTGGAGGTCTGGATTACCCCAAAAATCTGGGTTGTGGTTTTCACCATGGTATGTTTTGATGTGTAGGTGAATTCTTCATGTCATCCATGTAGTGGATCTACTCAGGCTTGGGTGAGCCAGTTTTGCAGTCAATTACCTCAAATTACAGGCTGGTGCTCAGCAGCCTCCAAATTCACGCTCACCACATGAGAGGATCCCTTGGCTGTCTTCTGCTTCCTGGTGGGATTGTACCTCTCCTAGTTGTCACCCCAAGGGCCAGACACACTTGTCTGGCTTAATCTGTGATCTGATACTGTCTGTGGGGTTCACAGGATCACAGCCAGGAACGTGCCACTCAGAGAAATCCCACGATGGAAAGAGCCCTGCTGATGAAATGTGGAACATCTCCAGCTGTAGATTGGCAAAATAGGCTTTTCCCAGCCTGTTACCTGTCTTACTTTCTGCTGCTGGAACCAGATATCCCACACTTGTCCCTTGAATGTGGCTCTGTCTCAAATGGTGAGGGAGTCCCCTGAGTGATCTGCGGGTTTGTGCCTCTGTTCATAGAGTTTAAAATGTAGTAATTTGGGGTGAGCCAAGATATGACAACAGTGAACTCAGCACAAGAATTTGAATGAAAGAGAAGTGCTGACGACTCCTTGGTGATTTTGTGGTTCGTGACTCACTATCAAAATAATCTTTAATTTATAGCCCCTGTTGTCTAATCCCACTCCTCCTGTCCTTCCTCTGAAAAATCTGGAAGGGCAGTAACATTCACAGACACATCAAGGAATTCAAAAGAAATAAGGATTTGAAGGGGTGCAATGCCTTAACTTTGTTAAGAGGAATCCTCTCAACAAGTTACCCTGTAAATCAACAGGAGAGAAACTGGAAAGGGCACCAAGGGAGTAGGAGATGGTAGTTAGGAGGTGATGTGGTAATGCAAGGAGAGGTTTTGAATTATGTTTCCATCCCACAAAGATGATGGAACAAGTTTCTTTTTTAGTTTCATGTTTTTATTGAGTGTCTCATCAGCTTCTCTTTCTTTCAGAGCCTTTGAATTATCTGCTCTTATTTCCCTTGGCACCACTGGGAAGACATTACTTCACTGTGTGCCTGTGTCTGTGTGCTGTGTCTCCCTCACTGGTGCACAAGAGCAACAGGGCTGGGATTGAATTCAAGCTGATGAATTCCTAGAGTAGGAAGGGAAGACTGTTTCCTATGTAGCTGCTTTTTAATCCAGGATACAGACTTTTCATCTGCCAGAATACATCTGTCTTTGCTCACAGATGCTTTTTTTGCACTCTTGATTTATCCATGTGACACTGCATGAAGTGTCTTCTACAAACCTCATATCAGAGATGGTAGGAACAGGCAAGAATTT